GTATTGGGGTGGTGGGTAGTTGTCGTATTGGGCTGGTGGGTTGTTGTCGTATTAGGCTGGTGGGTAGTTGTGGTATTGGGGTGGTGGGTAGTTGTGGTATTAGGCTGGTGGGTAGTTGTCGTTTTGGGCGGGTGGGTAGTTGTCGTTTTGGGCGGGGGGGTAGTTGTCGTTTTGGGCGGGTGGGTAGTTGTCGTTTTGGGCGGGTGGGTAGTTGTCGTTTTGAGCTGGGGGGTAGTAGCCTCAGAGATGAACGGCTGGGCAGGACCCATGGTGGAAGGCGGCTTCTTTTTCTTTTGTTGATCATGTGCCAGTGAAGAAGCTGAAAAAGACAAAAAACATTGTTCAGCTGCCTAATTAATTATGGCTAAGCCCTGCTGGACAGGTGATCCAACCTGCTTTTCAAGTGTCTCCCTGCTGGTACTGGAAATCAAAAAGTCAAGAAGAAAAGAATGAAATAAATTCCAACACTGTCACAATGGCGTTCCATGTCACATCATCCCAATCCACGATCCTGGTTTCATCCATCTGATTTGCATTCTCATTCCTCATTGAGACTTGTCTCCCACTTGGACGAATGGATCAAGAGACACTGCTGCATTTTAGCTTGTCACTCAGTTGGATGGAGATAAACTGAGCATTAAGCTACAAACCAATGAGTTGCTATAGAAAGAATAAAGGAGGGCTATGAGACCCTGACAGACAGCAGAAACTAGCAGTCCTGGAGGCCAATCATTAGTCACAGGTGAGGTCAAATAATCAGGAAGATTCCTGTCATGTTTGCATTGACTGCTGTTCTTCTGGGAGAGCTAGCTGTGTTGCTGCAGCATGTGATGTTATCACCTGGAGACTCGGAGGACCTGGAATCAGTTTACAACTGTTCCCATTCCTCAGCATAAACACTCAGACCTGAGAGGGCACAGGGCTCTGTAATCAAGTTTGAACTTTCAGCAACTCAAGTTTCTTGACCTTTGGTTTCCCACGTTTCGCTTTGCTGGTACTCTGGTCACCTGCTCGCTAGTTACCCTTGACTTTGTTCACCATCTATCGGGTTTGACACTGGTGCATCTCCTTGACCAATCTCCTTGACACTCCCTTGTGCTTTGCCACTGTACCTCCTTGGATACAGCCCTCGCTTGCGTCGGATCACAACCCTGGACCACGATTTGGTTCCCTAGCTAGCTACAGCAGAACGTCTGTCTGCGTGCATGGCTAATTGGCTCACTAGTCGGCAAGCAGCCTGCTACATGCTCTGTATGCTGCTTGTTCCACCTCATAAAGCATTATTACAATTAACATGCAGTATATGTCATTATTTCCTCAGTTACATTGCACAATTTAGCTTTAGCAGGAAAATAAGGTCAATTAAGTAGTGAGTATAAATGTTAGAAAACGTTCTGTAGTTACTGTAAAGCTTTCAAGTTAGGGGGTAGTTTGCTAGGTAATAAGAGTCTGTAAGTGAAGGCGATAGAAACTAACGCTTAACAGATGCAGCAATGTAAGTTGGGAATTCCCATATTCCTACTGTAGGCTCCGAGAGGGATCTTCTCCACTATGTTGTTTCCCCTTTGTTAGATTCTGATCTTTCCTGACAAGTAACAAGGCATCTAAAATGGCTTGTGAAAACTGACTGAGTGGTACAGTATATTGGGGGAAAACTAAACAAACAGCACACAGAGCTCTGAAACCCATTGGTGAAGTATCTTTTCCTCTGGCTGTGTGACATCCTTCTCCTGGTCCCTCTCTCATTTCACAGGGGACTTTTCAAGAACAGCTGGGAAGGTCGTAAACCAAGCAAAACAAAAGGTAAGTTCCACAGGGTGGAGTGATAGCTCTGTGGCTGTGGCTGGAGGGTTGCTGGTTCAAATCCCCTAACCTTAACCCCAACTGCTCCAGGGGTGCTGTATAAATGGATGACCCTGTGCTCTGACCCCAACTCTCTCTCTCTCTCTCTCCTGTGTGTCTCATGGAGAGCAAGCTAGGGTATGTAATTTCTCCTAATGCAAGAAATTGTATTTGGCTAATAAAGTGATCTTATCTTATACCAAAGCCACAGTGGCCCATCAGGCCAGAACTCATGCAGGTTTCTGTGGTCTTACATGAACTAAGTACAGAGATTCCCTGGATGGGAAGCTGGTCTATCACACATACTGTAAAAAACCCGGGGCAAACTGGATAGAACACACGTAAAGAGCTTAAAAGAAAAGTGGAATCAGCAATTCCTTCTTGTAGTCAAGTGAAGAAAAGGCCTCATTCTGAAAAATGACTGGAGTTCCTCTTTTCTTTGTGCTACAATACCTCTGAACCAAAAAGAGGAAGCACAGTTTACCGAGACACCAGTTTTTTCAAAACTTTACCAATAAATTACTTACAGGCATTTTTGGACTGTCCTGTTCCTGTAACAACACCTGCTTTGTGCTGTGTATTTTATCGTTCTTTCCAAGGCTGGAAGATGTCAACACCTTTAAGCTCTTATCTGTGCTGAACTGCTTTATCCCTAACCATCCAGCTCTTTCCAAAATCATCCATCTACGTGATCTTGTTCTGTTTTTGGAAAGTTTAGAAAATGAATCCAATGGTCCACAAAAAAAAACGATCAAGGTAAGTGAGTAGGAGCAATAGTCTAGCCAACTTGTATGGCATCATAACTAAAGATTCAGATGAGGTTCTGATCCAGCCCCACCAGAAGGATAAGCAACAAGAACCAATAGCGATGAGTGCAGACATCTGTCACTTGATACTCTACAGTGGTATCATTTGCTCTTACTTATACAGGCCTTGAGAAGGCATGTCATTTTCTGATTGCTTGCCTAAGAACCAATGACATTGTAGCATTTCAGTATGGTATTAAGTTTTTTTTTTATTATTGTTATTATATTAGCTAACTCTTCATTTTCAACAAAAAACTGTCATAATGTGTATTATACTCACACCTTTCCTCTATCTCTATAATTATTTATAATACAGTACATGTATAATTTTTCTTTCAGTTTCTCGATTGTTTGTGGAAAACAGAATTGGAAATTCGTCTTGGATTAAATCATTTTAAACTTTGCATCTGTTTTTTGGGGGGTATTATACCTAGAAAATGACACTGTTACAATTGCATCTACAATAAATACAACTACGGGATCGCATGGCCTTTCACTGTTTTTACCAGCCAGAGTTTGAGTTTCACTTTAATCTGCAATTGCAGTTCAGGGTCACTGATCTTGTAGAAAAAACTGCTTACTGACACTGGTCTTCTATTAAGCTACATTGCTGAAACTGAAATTGTCTTTTGAAACCATTCAAAATGATTTTTCCGTTTGAACTTGCACTTCAGTTGCCAGCAAAACAATCTGGAGATAATCTGCTGTCATCCACAAAAAAAACAGCAGCAAAAAAATCTTAATGGCTATGTAATGAAGTATGGTTAATTATTCTTTAAATTTCCCCATAATATGTACTTGCACAAGTGCCGACAATTACCTAGAATTGGAATGAAGAATATTTAAAGGTAAATATTGGATTATTTTACATTATAACAAAACATACAACCTTACTAATGAACTGAGAGGCTCATCATCAATCCAGGCTGTATTCATTGTTTACTGACCTCAACTGTAACTCCTGGTGTCCATGTATCCAAATCAATTTAAATCATGGTACATCAGTTTTCCACAATTTCACAATCAAGGCCCAAATCCACAAAGCATGCTAACAATTCCACTCTGGCAAGAGTACAGAAAACACCAGAAGCCCATTCTTCACACACCTCCCCTTCTCTGGAAGTAAAAGATCCAGTTAAGGTTCTGATTCACACCTTTAGTGAGAGATCTGAGCCAAGAAACACATAATAGGTACCCAAACAAGAAGCATCTCTACTGAAGAGGCCAGGGAGTTGCTCAGCAGGGGCAGTTCTATGACTAACCCTGGGGTACACAAGGGTGTGGTGTTGCGTGGTGTGTTGATCCAAATGTATGAAAAAGAATGTTTGGAAAGATCACATTCAAAATTTCAACCACTGCACAATGGACTGATGCATCGATGCACTGGTGTAATGTCTTCATGGACTGAGAACAGGATAACACGAAACAGCTTGTTATCACAAGGAGTACAGCTTCTATTTGGGCCAATCTAAGCAGCCGTGTGCTGAAGCGATCCATCTGAGGCCTGTTGCTCTTCCTGATCAATGTGAACAATTTAGAAACTGATATATTTAGCCAACAATTGAGATTTGTAGATGGTACAAAGAATACGCAGGGGGAAGAGGAAGCAACAGATAGTGGCAAAGGGGTTGCAAAGACTTTGATGAAGTCTTGGAGCAGGCAGGCACATGGCAATAGCAATTTAACACTATTTAAGTGCAAAGTGATCCATCCAGGAAGTAAAAACTTGCATTGCACATTGGTCAAATGGGTGACCTCCCTAATATCACATGGTGAGTCTGAACCGCGTGATAAGACATCTCGATGTTTACGTATCGTGTCCTCATCAAAACGTTTTGGACAGATGTTTCAGTCAAATAGACAAGTTTCATTTCCCATTGTGACGTTTACGACTTGCCGATGATGATTACAATGATAACTTGTGATGGTGAAAGACAATGTGTCCTTATTAGGGCTGCAGTTGGTCAATGCAGAGACCTCTGCCTTTCTGAAAGCAAGATCAGGTGACACCGACTCTTATAAATCAGTTTTATATTAGAATATTTAAATAGGAGAAAGGGGAAGCACAGTGGCGTTGTGGTTAGCATTGCTGTCTCGGAGTGCTGGCTTCCTGGGTTCAATTAGGACCTTGAGTGCTACTGGCACTGGAGTTTGCATGTTTCCCCATGCTTGTGTGAGTTTCCTCTTGGTGATCCTGTTTCCTCCCACAGCTCAAATATTGGTAGGTTAAATGGATTCTGGAAAAACTGGCCCTGGTGTGAGTGTGTACATATCTGTATGTGTGTGTTCCCTGCCATTGGCTGGTGTCCAAGATGTCCAGTACCCCCTTTGTGCCCACTGACTCCAGTGTAGCTCCCCTGTGACCCTAAATTGAAACAAGCTTCCAAAACAATGGAAAGAAAGTTTGCATAGAAGAGATGGGTATTTGTTTAATCTTGATTGATGGGTTTTAAGCAGGTTTTATGATTCACAACTCTTTAAACATTAGAGTAAGAATCCCCTTAATAGTTCATTCACCATATTTATGATGAATAAATGCTATTTGCACTTCCATTGGCAGTCCAAGTGCTTTATTGTATTTCCAGTGACAGTCTCTTTCAGGCATTATATTAACTGCACCATGTCCTGTTGAGTTTTCTGTTCGTCCTGCACTTGACAACATGGGTGCATCTCTTGTTCCACATTCCACCAACCCTTTGTGTAAAGCAATGCCTCCCATTCTCAGTTTGAAAAGCACAGTCTCTGTTTCTGCTATGTCCTCTAGCTTACATTTTGCTGGGAAATCTCAAGACTTAAGAATTTTTTATATACTTTTTAAAACTGGCGCTGACAGTCATTAAACTTCTTCTCTTTAACTGGGTCTTAGTCTCTTTTAAAACAGTTTTCTTTCTTAAAGGAACTTATTTCTTAAAGGAAGAATTAATCCATTGGAGCCTGCACTTTCTAACTCTGGGTATGCGTTCTCCTTGGTTGAATGTGGTTTGTGTGGCAAACCGCATATCTTTTCAATGTCTGACCCATATCGATTCTGAGAACTTTGATTCCTTGAGGCTGCGTTCCTGTGACTGAAAGCTGTTTCTGAAGTACAAGACCACACCCCCTCCTTCTCCCCCATTCTTGTCACTGTGGAATGCTGCACATCCACTAACTTGTGTTAAGTCTCCCTCATGTTTAAGCAATGGTAGGTAAACTGCAGTCACCTGCTAGTGCAGTACCTTGTATTTCTTGTATTCAGCTCAGAATCTTCCCGGCCTTTAGGTAAGACACTTCTTCACTTGGCCCTTTGATTTTGGATTTTCCTCTGGAGGTCTCTTCTTTCAGATCCCTGTTGATTTCCCTTTGCTCATTACTGGCTATTTGTCCACCCCTCCATGACAGATCTGCATTCAACCTCACTTCACTTGGCTTCTCCTTATTCTTTTCTTTTCCTGTGACAAGTTTCTCCTTTTAAATTTGCCCTCAAAAGTGCAAAGTCTCTCCTCTTTCTCCTCCTCTTTTCTCCTCTTAGCCCTTTGAAGGGCTAAAGATTACTTCAATGCAAAACTTTAAAAATGCAATATGAAACAAACATTTACTTCCTTGTTGTTTCCATCGCCCTGTGCCAGCGGCTTTTTTAACCACATTTTGGAGCACCATTTATAAATTATTCATATATACAGCATATACAGTTCATAAACTTAGAAAGGACTCGTTCAACCTGTGACGCCAGTATTCCTGCACAAAGTGCTCTCTCTCACTACATTACTAAAGATGTTATCTGCGATCCATATCTCCTGCCAAAAGAGAATAATGAGAACAATAAGTTTTAAAATAAATTAAGTAAAAACATTATTTAGATTTTGTATAGAAGTAATACTACTACTACTACTAATACTAATAATAATACTACTACTACTAATAATAATTGCTTACACTTATATAGCGCTTTTCTGGACACTCCACTTTAAAGCGCTTTACAGGTAATGGGGTCTCCCCTCCACCACCACCAGTGTGCAGCATCCACCTGGATGATGCGATGGCAGCCATAGTGGGAGCCACTATAGCCATAGTACAAGTCATTTCTCTTGATATGAAGCTGTAAAAGTGCCATAATGTTCCTGAGGTTCAAACTGGTCTTACTGAACCTAGGCTATTATATTTAGACCTTGTATAATATGGAGTTCAAGGAAAGTGGCATCATGTTCAGTATAAAGCTGGATGAAGCCCCTCCAGGAATTCAGATTTCTGCAACCATGTCCCTCCTAAACATCCCAATTTTATCTTCTCATCTTCCAAAAGCCCTTCCTGCAGTCGTCTCTGCAAATTCACAATGGCCCCATTCAATCATCAATTTATTCTACTTGCTCTGTGTCCGGCCCTTGGCCATTTGAAATTCTTCATTCTTTCAGGAAGTGTCCATAAAAGCCTTGGCTCGCGTTCTAAACCAGGAATGGTCATCATCAAGAGATGGATTTCTGGGTTTCTGAGCGTCTTCAGCGGCAGGCCTCCCTTCACACCAATCTCCTCTATGCCTTTGGTGAATTGCAGGGTTGCAGGGCATTTTGAGCCTTGCAGGGTTGGGTAGGTTAGGGGTCACCAAGAGATTCTGCAGCTTTTTGCGTTACAAGGAAGATCCTGTGGGTCTGGATAATTGTGACCTTGCATCCACTGTTCTCAGTGAGCGCTGCGTCAACTCTAACAGATGCTTACCTCAGCCACTCTTGCAGAAGTAAGGCAAGTGGCGGATGATGACAGTGCAGACTGTGGTAGGCGGGTGGGTGGGGGTGGTTGCATGTGTCACATGCCTTTTCTCCAACCCGTGAGAGGACCCGTCACCAGCCCTGTTACCGAGCCGGGGCAAAACGAGAAACAGCAATGCCCGATTTGCCCAAGAGAAGGCAAAACAAAGAGGTGTGAAAGGTTTGGAAAGAGAAAGTTTGTATTTGAATGCTGCAAGGGGGAAAGGATTTTCTTCATAGGGTCAGGAATCGCTGGAGGCTTTCATGCCACCCCAGCTCTTGATGACCCATTGGGGCCATTAAGATTAGCATCACTGAACACTTTTCAAAGGTTTTTGGCTGATGATGGTTTTGAGGGGCTCAGAAAACCTATTGGACTTGGGCCCTTGAGGGCTGCAGTGGAGCATGTTGGAGATAATCAGGCTAGTTGGCTGGGCAGAGAGAAGAAAGCACACGCCAAGCAGCACAGTGAAGTATCACTCCAGCCAAATTAATCGTGACAGCGGCTGTTTGCTACAGGCACTTTCAGAATGAACCAGTCTCAAGATAAAGCAAGAATACTCTTAAACCAAGAGTACTCAGTCTGGGCCTACGCTTAATGACCTCACTGATCAGATTATTAGCTAAATTGGAGCAGTTTGACCATTTTCAATGGTCATCAGCTGTTGATGATTTTCAAGAGACCTGGAAAACCAGCTGGACTCTGGACCTCCAGGACTGCATCTCACTGGGTTCCCCTCCGGTGAGAATAAAGCATGAGCCAAGCAGCACAGCAAAACACCAGTCCGCCCACATTAACTAGTCGTGTCTGTGGGAGCCCCCATTTGCTGGTGTCACTTTCAAAATGGACTCATCAACCAGGACAGGGTAAAGTATTTAAACCAGGAGTGCCCAATCCTGATCCTGGAGACCCAGTGTGTCTGCAAGTTCTCAGTTCAACTCAGTACTTAATGAACTATAACTAAGTCCACTACTGGCTTAACTGGACCCCCGGACTGGGGTGTGTTAGAGATATAAGGTACCATGGCACTGCTAAGCATGGTTACTGGTTATTGAGGGTTAACAGAAGCATACAATTAGTCTGAAAATATTTCTCAAGCCTCTGACATGAGCTGGCAGTGGCTCAGCCGGTTTTGGTCTTAAAATGCTGTTTTATACATGCTGTTCTGACTTCATGTATGTCTGCAGAAGAAATGACCTAGAACCACTTAGAAAAAAGCAGAAGCATGCCAACAGAGAACTGCTTAAAGAGAAAACTCCACAGGCAGTATAAGATGTGGTGCATGTGCTGCTGTCTCCCAGTCACTCACAAAATGACAATGTTCAGCCTTTGTTTTAGGAATTACTGAGTGCTCAGTTTCAGCAGTAAATCTGCCAGTGATAAATATTTACGACAATCACAAAACACAATATAATTGTTAATAATTAATGAACCACTTATTAAGTCACAGTGGCCAATAATGATGTATAATATGGACAATCCAACATGTACTCTATAAACCTCTTGTTGGTTGTTAAGAGTGACATAACTTCATGGTTACATTTTCAATTACTGAGAAATGTAGTATCATTTATACAGTAAATGTCTGACGGCCAACTTCATGTTGCAAGTTTCTGAACTAATCAACTTTTATTATTTTAGTAACCTTTACCCAGATTACCTAATTGCAAGCTGTATACATTGTAGAACAGTCTGGAAGCTCAGTATTTATGGTACACGTAACTCGACACTCGAACTGGCAATGAAAAATAAGAATATTTACAACTTGCGCGTACTGTAGGTGCTACTTTAAATAAATCTGGTAACACTGTTCTGTATAATTACAGAACTCTAAAGTTATGCATATACAAAACACATAAAAACAGGTCACGCACATATTGTGGCAGTAGATTTACGATCGACGTAGAAGCAATATATATTGTACAAGTAGTTCGGCAAGTACTGTATGATGCGAGTTAATGCGGACTCCTGTCGAATTTCAATTCTGACTTACATGAAGATCTGCGTCTAACAGCAAACGCGTTTGTGCTGTTATTCTTTAAAAAGACTTTTAAAAGACGAAAAAACAAACGGAAAGAAAAGGGAGGGAAATATATCACGAGTTACGAAGCAGGAAACGGCCAACACTAAAACGACAAAACACCTGTGCGTTTAGAAATCGTCATTTGCCGGAGATTTCTGCTTTCTTTTACATCGCTTAGTGTATACTGTACACCCACGTAAACAGCTACACGACGTCAACTTTATTAAACTGCGTTGTTCCTAAAAATCTGTTCTTCAGAATTATCCGTCTTAACAGTATATGTTTCACCGTAACTAAAAAAAAAATGCATTCGCAGCACCTGGGGGAAAAAATGCCATAAACGTTTTTGAAACATACCCAAAATGAGAGCGCAGATGACGGAGAGCAGTAGAGTCCGTGTAGGGTTCATGTTGAGAAGCAGGTTTTTGGAAGTCGCAGTAGCTGTTGACAAGGTCCGACTCTCGCAGAAAGTGGCTCTGAGTCGCAGCTCGCCTCGTTATTTGCAGCACAGAGAGTGCAGACAAGAAACGAAACCAAAAACGTTTGGAAACTTAACTTCCAGCCCCCACACACACTCTCTCTCTTTTAGGAAGCTGAACAACACAGCAGCCAAAAAACAAAAACAAAAGAAAGGTGCTCAACTCACTCTGTGACTATTATTATTATTATTATTATTATTATTATTGCCTTTTTTTATAAAGCGACGTTTTAGCACGTTCCCTGACATTACACTTTCACCAACAAAAATGAAACTGAATTCCAGCTTAACAGGAAACATGGATATTTTCTGGCCGAAATTAAGAATCGTCAGAATCGGCAAAAGTTAACTATCACCCGCAGAGCCCGCAAAAACTGTTTTACTAAGAACTCGTATGGGGGGGGGTAATAATAATATCATCACTCAACTAGCTTTTAACAACTACTGTAGCAGCAGCTCTGCTGTGCGCCTTCTTAAGTTGTTTCCGATTCTTGAATATGTATGAGTATGATTAACGAAGACAGCGAACTGTTTGCTATGTGTAATAAGTCCAGCTGGATTCAGTCCAGGTGAAATCAATCCGGGGCAGAGCAATAGCTCTGTGGCTAAGGATCAGTGCCTTTGGCTGGAAGGTTGCCGGTTCAAATCCCGTAGCTGGCAGGGGATCTTACTCTGTTGGGCCCCTGTGTAAGGCCCTCAACCCCATCTGCTCCAGGGGTGCTGTATAAATGTCAGACCCTGCGCTCTAACCCCCAGCTTCTCTCTCCCTGCCTGAGTGTCTCACGGAGAGCAAGCTGGCATGTGTGTAAACATTACAAGTACGGCAAGTAGAGAAAAGATCAACCTAAAAGCAGAGCACACATCACCCACATTGAGCGCTGTTTTAAACCAATCACCAAGACATAATTAAAGCCCTGTACAGCCTATGCTGTTAGAGGCTTGTTTCTTTCAGGGAGCAGACCTGGCTAGGCTGGAAGATACATTGATTGCACAGATGATTCAAGCCAGCTCTGACATAACTTTCACTCGTTATGTCCACTGTTTTTGAAAAGCAGATAACCCACAAGGGCAGCACAATAAACATACAGTTTGGTGAAAAAGTATTCTCCCACTTTCAGATATTCTGACTTTGTGCATATTTTCGCCACTGAGTGTCATGAATTGGACATGCGCACAGGGACACTGGATTTTGTTTGACATTGTGAAATAAATGAAAGAAGCACCAAACCACTGGATTTGTTCACCTAGACTCCCTTTTTGTATCACCTGGACGCACATGAAGCTCAGATCACATTCAGTGGAGAAAATATGCAAAAATTCAAAAAATCTGAAAGGGGGTGAAAACTTTTTGACAAAAGTGTACAAGAGATGTGGAACATGGTGGCGCAGGGTTTAGCCGTGCTTAATCTCGGTGCTGGGGTCCTGGGTTCAATTCCGAAGCTGGGGAATTAACTGTGTGGAGTTTCTGTGTTCCAATTGTGTTTGCATGGGTTTCCTCCCACAGACATACAGGCAGGTTAATTGAAAATTGGCCCTGGTGTGAAAGTGTGTGTCTGTGTTTGAGTGTCTTCCCTGTGATGGACTGGTGTCCCATCCAGGGTGTACCCCACCTTGCACCCATTGCTTGCTGGGATATATTCCAGCTCCCCCTTGACCCTGCATTGGAAGTTGCAGTTAGAAAATGGAGGAAGATGAGGAAGGGCACATTGATTTAAAAGAGGAAATTAAACCAGAAGAAAACAGAAAAAATGGGACTCAGTCTGTTACAAAAGTTAACAGGTGTTACCCAAGAGATTTAGAGCTGTAGTGTGTTATGATCACAGGACAGGGTGCGAGCAAAGAGCAGTCACAACCACACAGTGTGAGTCATCAGCTGAGACACACAGCACGGACACAAACACACCCTTTGGTCATGAAGGCGCCAACTGTCACATGGTGCGTGTACCGTCTGTATAGAGGGAGATTCCTTGCCCAATACTGACCAGCCCCATTCTGATCTCAAACGTCTACCCACAGTGCTGCACGAAGATGTTGTGGGTCGTAAGAAAGTTTCCCAGATTTTGGTTGGTCAGGCTATGATAGCCCAGCTCCCAAGGAGGAGTTCCAGACCTGTGTCTGTATTGACAAGGTGTGATCTGTCACAAGGTTACCTGTCATAAAGACAAGGGCAGGTGTTATAATTGATCCGCTGGGGTCTGCAGACACAGTAAGTAATACTGTGATCAACAACACACTGTGCCTGCCAACATAAAACAGCAGAGTAGATCCAAGGGTCAAAAGCCTTGCTAAAAACTTAAGAAATCAAATTCATTTGAGTTACCGATAATTTGTACTCTATGTAGTGGAATTATGGGTTAAATGAACAGGTCAGAGTGTTCTCCACACTTGCTGCTGTGTGTTTAATCTTTTTTACGTTCAGAAGTCCTATGTATTCTTCTGTATGCTTTGTACAACAAAATCACAGATGTCATATTATTTAAAATGCAAAAGTGGGATTTGTTGCCTCACCAAATCATGGGACTGTCCAGTAACTCTGCACACCATATCACAAGCGCAATCTCTTGCATAATTTTGTTTGGTTTGGATCCAAAACCATTACAGTTTGAAAAATGATAATGATAATATTTGCAGAAGGCTGTGCTGAGCCATCACAATCTCATACTAAAGAAATGTCTCAACTCTTTATGGTAACAGAGAGGGGTTTTCGTCAATCATTAATCAGCAGGGACCTCATGCAAAATTAGACGTGTGCTTCATAGTTGGACCTGAGCTGTCTCTCTTTGAGGAAATTCCCTGTGACTCGTTGCTGCATGTGACATCTGAAATTGCTTGAGAAGAGCGTATATGAGGAGCAGGTTTATTAAAAGGAAATAGACAAGGTTAATCAGGAAGAAAGTATGTTAAAGATGTTCATTAAAAATTGGCTGTAGGTCACAGAAGAAAGACATGTCAAGATATTAGACTTATTTTGCAGTTGTTCTCCTAGGGAGTGTGAAGGTTAAACAAAGTGCATTTTAAACTTTCAGCAGCTTACCATCTGCAAGGTTTGTGAATGGACATTTTACAAAATGCCCTGGTGTTGTTGAAATTTGATATGGAACTCAGCTCACTGTTATACCAGACATGCTGTCCAGCCTGTGACTGCAATAGCTGCGGAGGATGTGGTGCTGTCATCTCTGTGGGGCTCAAATTGTTCTTTTCACGGACTGAGAATCATTTTTACTTTGTTCCCATTTTCAGTGTCTGTAAGCCTCTGAGCAGATCTGTGTCTTATAAAAGCAGAAAACGGCGGCTGTAACATATCCCAAGAAGTTTCTGCACACTGTAATTTGATCAATGCCTTTTCATTTCTGTCGTAGAATGGCTGTTACTCACATCAGTGTGGTCTTAGAGGTGAAGGGCTCATGTTACATTTCCTGACACAAGCTATGCATTTCGCTCTCAGTGGTTTTGACTCAAAACCTGATCAAATTCACACTCTGTTGTTGCCACATTGCAGAGATGATCACGCTCTTCTTTGTGAAGAACAAGCTGGGCATTTTTCTTGAGTGGCTATGTTTAATCGCTGTGGTGAAGATCCATGCTTGGATTATTGCACTCATTTTCATAATTTTAATTAGATATTCTGCTGTCTTGCATTTCTTGACAACACACAAATACACTGCACAGTTGCAGCCCATATTATTACTGCTGAACCTACAGTATGCTGTGCAGTAAACTACTACAGTTGTCACTATTATCGCTACAGCTATCCTGACTCCTACAATTACAGCTTTCAGTACTATGACTGCGACTACAGCTATCTCTACTATCACTACTATAGCTATCACTAATGCAGCAACTATTAGAATTACTGCCATTACTTCCAGTGCTACACCTAATACTAAATGTATCACTACCAGTAATAACAATAATCATATTCTGTTTTTAAAGGAGGATTTTGTAGTAGACTTTTTCAGACTGCTTTACAGGTAAAGGAGGATTACCTTAAACCCCCACTGACTGGCTGTTAGGAAAAAATAAGCTTTTGTACTCAGGAATGATTCAGAAATCACTGTTAGGAGTATTCAAGATAGAACTCAAGAGACAGGTCTGTATACAGATAGTGAGAGGAGTTTGGAACACACCATCTGTCCTAACTGCAGTAGTGTTCCGCTCCCCCCTGGTGATAGACTGTGCCAGTGACCCTTCCCCTTGTCCCTTAGGCCAACCCCTTCTGGTCTCTCCCCCTATAAAAAGAGGGAGGACTGTGTGGGAGCTGTGTCCTTCTGAAAGAGTAAATCTCTGTCTCTCTACCTGTGTCCCACCCTGGCCCTAGTGTTTCCCCAGTGATTAGCACTCTGTAACATTGAAGGACAATAAAGCTATACTTGTGAGACTGAAGAAGGTTCCTCTGAATTATTATTATTACACCTCTGCCCACACACAGCCAAACACAAACAACACACATGTACACTGACACACAACACACATTGCCTAAAGAGACCCTCCTCGCTATACTACTCTGGTGAAGATAACACCTCTTGTTGAATGACTTATCATTTGCTATCATTTTCCACTGAGCAAGACAGACTCCTCTCAGTTTGTGGTCTTTCTGGGGACCGATGCATCTGACTCTGACTTCAGAGGGATTGGAGCCGCATTCCCCAGCCTGTCAGTGCTAGAGCTTGACTAACGCCTATGAACCTTTGTTGTTTGCAGTGGAGAGCGATGGAAACGACCGCTCATTTAATACACTAACATAATTCATCAACCGTCAAAAACCCCATCACTTGTTGAATGAGCAACAAAGCTCTTTGACAGTGAAGGCAGCAGAATGGAAAAATCTTTTCCTAGCACACATTTATTTTTGTACATGCAATAAATTTTAAATTAAAAAATAATGTATAGAGATGTGAATCCCGCAATCAAATCAGCAAGTATTTTGACATTATTAGCTGACTAGGCAAAAATACTGTTTGAGACAGCAGCTCTGTGATATAGTCCTGAGTATTAGGACTATACCCAACTGAGAGTCAGGGGGAAATGACTCATTAGATCCAAGGATAATGAGCAAATGCAGAGATGGGCTTTATACCTAACATAGTGAACAGTGAATATTCCTCAGAAATTTTAATCACGTCATATCAAAACATTTCTATAATTCAGTGTGGCAAAACACACTGAACACATTACAAAACAATAGTAATCTATGCCAAAACTATAATCTAAATAATCTATATTCTAAAAAAGAACTCTAAGGGAAATTTACCAAGGTAAGCACTCTTATAAGGATAAGAATTTAATTGAATAAGATTAAAAATTACTGTCATAAACGCTACATGCCACAATATGACAAACAGTCCTTTTCAGAAGTTTGTGCAATTGAGATTACAGATGTGTGGTTATTTATAATGGCTGGTAGAAAGACAGTTCCAACCAGAAGCTAAGAGCAGAACCCCAAGCAGAAGTGAAATGATGGAAGAGGTCATGAAGGATTTTCTGCAGATCCAGCACAGTAACAGTCATCCTGGTGCACTTATGTGTATCTACGCAAGGGCAGCATGGCTGCACAGGAGTTAGCTCCTGCACTGGGTCCCTGGGTTCTGTTCTGGACCTGGGCTTCTATTTCCATGGAGTTGGCACCGTGTGTTCTCCCCGCATCAGACATGTATGTGTGTAAGATACAAGCATTACTTTTTGAACTATAAGTAACATTAAGAATGATTACATATCAGAGGAGATCATTGGGCCCATCAAACCCAATAGGCAGTTACTGGAATTTCTTTCCCCGGATCCTCATCCGGCCTTTTCTTGAAGAGAGCTGCTTGTTCCACGCTTCCACTACCCCATGCGTAAAGAAGAGCCTCCTGCTGTCGGTTTAAAATACACTCCCACATAGCTTCCCCTGGTGCCCCCTGCTTCGCGTGGCACTGTTTCACCGGTGGGTTGCCCTGTGTCAGTGATTTTGAGGATTTCAACCCACTGGGAATCGCAAAAGGGAAAGAGAAAGAATCAACTGCAAGCCTAGGATGAGTCAGCAATGTCCGAATACCCACGTAGACTGGAATCACATGAAATCACAGATCCGGTTCAGTTGCAGGAAGTGGTTGGATGAGGCTATTTCAGGGCTCATCTCAACATCACTCAGCCACTCAACTCATGAAAGACAGGAAACCCACAAAGCAATAGTCAGTGAAGAAATAATCCTTTCGGCTGGAGAAATATGCCAGAGAATCAGGAGAGCACTTTCTGAGACAACTGTCCACAGCTCAAATCTATACCACCTGTCACCCTCCAAGCATGAGACTTCAAACACTTTATATTTGGTATTACTGAGCTTCCACCAATGAAAGAGTTAAGAATCTCTGGTGAGCACAGTAATCAGCATTTGTGTGCAATATCGAAGCACTTTATCTGTATTAGCATGTGGCTTGTGCTTCCTGTTTACTTAAGAGGTCAAATGTTTTTAAAGCTGCTCTTGAGTTTACACCATATTCTGCTGTGAGTGTAGTTTAGCTTTGTATATTTTTTAAGAGTTTCTGTGTGGATTGTGTAAAGAATTGGAGACACTTCCAAACGATGGGTAATTGGCTTCAGGGGAAACTGGCCCTGGTGTGAGTGTGCTGTGATAGTGTATCCTTCCCTGTGGCTGTTGCTTGCCTGGGTAGATTCAAGCTCCCCCACGACCCTGTGCTGCGTAAGAGCTTGGGAACTGGATGGGTGAACGTCAAAGAAGTTCAAAATATTCAATACTCAGAAAAGATTTATATTACCCAAGACTTCAATCAAAAGGAAATTAAAATCAGAATGTCTTAGCTGGCCAGGAAGAGGTGTCAGGAGACATTGTGTGCAGAGACAGTGTGCTCCTGTTGCTTCTGGGCTTCCTTGTTCTGGGTTGCGAAAGAAGCTCAAACAGCAGGATGAGGAAAAGATAAGTAGGACAGGACCGGAGATGGGATGAGTAGAGTTAATTAATAACCAAGCCACACAGAGTCAGAGTCTCTGGGGAGCCGGAGCCTATCCCAGCCTGCAACAAGCACAAGGCAGGATTCATCCTGGACAGGACACCAGTTTATCTCAGGGCACACACAGACACAGACACATTCACACCAGGGTCAGTTTTCTGAGGAACTAATGAACCTACCAGCTTGTCATTTGACTGTGGGAGGAAACCCAGAGCCCCTGGTGGAAACCCACACAAACACGTAGAGAACGTACAAACTCCACCCAGACAGCACCCCAGGTTCAGAACTGAACCCAGGATCCCAGCACTGTGAGGCATAAATGCTAACCACCGCACCAGTGTGCCACCCATATTCCTAACAGTTTTAATCAAAGCTGCCACTTCATTGTGGAGAAACGGAACAGGGTCGCATTTCACCTCGTACAATTTGCAGGGAGTCATAGATGAAGAGTTCGAGTGTGCATATACAGTGTGCCCTGAATAATCTGCTTGGCATAGACTTTCAAAGCCACACTGTGACCAGAGATACACAAGACAATTTTGAAAGTAAATGTCTTTTCAGGACGACACTGATAAACAGTGTATTCCTGGTTGACAGCTGGAGTTGTTAGCCACTGACACTTGTTAAAATAAAGCACTGCTCTTTTATCATAGCTGAGAAATCACCATCCGCTTCTGCTCAGCAAGTGGATTTTCTTGTCAGTTCATCTGAATCCATTTTGCTGAACAGGAAGTATTGTCACAGTCGAAAGCATGAACTTTTGCAAACATTTTTTTTACACAAAGCAAATTCTTGTGAGATGTACCATGTGCAGAATGTAACAAAAGCATTTATGGAATTTGCAGATATTTTAGGAACTGACAAGAACAGGTCAAACAAATATTTTGAAAACTGTTTATGAAGTGCTTCATGCATGTTTCTATCGAAAAATCCAACTTTTATTCACGATGCTTTATTGTTTTAGAGCCAGCATGATTTAAAAAGCACTGCTGTAGACTACAAGCAGGAATCAGCCTAAAAAGACTTAGTCTGTTGTGTTGATTTTACTTGTGCTGAGCCAAAGCTGTGTTGGAAATAGAATTGTTAGCTTTCTTTTTACAGCACATTAGCCTGCAGAACACTCTGAGCGCATCCATTTTTAAAGATGAGACAAAAGGAATATTTATCATACTTGAGGACAATTCATATCTGAGTTTTTATTTTTCTTATTCCCTTGCCAAAAACTCACTCTCGGTTAAGAAAATCTCTCCCTGCAAAGGAGAAGCAGCGAGAGAATGTGGACATCTGTGGTACCCACGTGACTGGAAACAGGAAATCACCCTTCCCACCCCACACACAGAAACAAAGAGTCAGGTGGTTCAACAGGGCAGCTCCCATCCAGAAATGTCCACGGGGTTTAAAAAACAATTTCATTTGAAAGCAGGTTTTTCAAGGATGGGTTGCTAGCCACGTTTCTCCTAAATACTGTTGTTTTTCTTTTCTGTTGAAAGTGAAAACAAAAAATCAGTTCTGTACATTTGAATTAACCAGACAACCTACAGTAAGTCTTTCATGCGACTACTTATCCAGGTTTCTTCAATTCACCCGAAGAAGGCTCCACAGCCAAAACATTGTGTTTCTTTTCTTCTCTTTTCAGCATGAAATAAACCTTTACTTGTTCCTTTACTTCACTGCAGGCCTTTCTTGGCTCACAGTGAAAATATATCAGATTGTTTTAGAGCTTGCATAGATCTGTTGTCACTCTCACATCAGTTGCATTATATCAACGCTTTGCTGGTGCTCCTTGTGCTAATATCTTGTCATTTGCTCTGATTTATTCAGCAAAGCACTTGCTACATCTACTATTGGCGCAAAATCCTCTTCCCAGAACTAATGAGGAAGTAGAGCAGAGTTGCTCAATTTTCTGGGGCTCATTGCTCAAACGTTGTATCTGGGAGCATGTGACGGCCCTACCCGCTGTGCTTTGCCTAGCTGTGTAGACCCAGAGCTGTGCTGTATGTACAATATAATTAACCCACTGAACTAACAATCTGATCTCCTAACTTGCTGGTACAGCATGGGGCACTGCCACTACCACCCTCTGGACTTCTGCCACCTCACTGTCCTTCTCAGCAACAGGTTACTGTGCCCCTATCTGGTCATGATCATCACGTGCTTTTCTCAATGTGTAGTCACCCAGCTGAATGTAACCACGCAGGTCAGCACTGGGACCCTACACTCCACTCTCCTGGCTCCCTGTCCTATAATACATCACTCCTCCACACATCCAATGACTCACCGTCTCCCACAAAATGCTCAAAAAGGTCCACAATGCTTACCTGCCACTACACAAAGACATATTTAATCACCCAAAGGCACATCTGTCTTTAAGAAAGCCATGTGGAGAAACCCTCTCCAGCAAGACGTCATCGCAGACACCCGGACTCAAGAATGGGAATCACTGGACTTAACTAACAAGCACACAAGCACATGCCCCACCAGCTATCTCCCAGCTTTCACCTTCTGAGAAAAGAGCAGTCTGAAGCACTTTAGGACTGGTCATGGTCCATGGTCCATGTCTTCGCAGCCCCTGTGTGTTCCTGTGGAATAGAACAAACTATGCATCACATTCTAGAGGACTGCCCAATGCACAGGCTCAGTGGGGGATTACACACTGATTGGCTCAGGATATAAGAAATAAATGCATTTAATAAATAAATATGCGAAACTACTTAACTACACAACAAATTCAACACGTTTCCCAGCTTTATGTTTCTGGAATCCTGCATTTGAATGCTCCTTGGCTCAGAGGAGACACAAGTGGCAGTATTACCACGTTGCAACGCGATCGCATCAGATCTCAGAAAGTAAGCAGGGTTGGACCTGATCAGTACAGGAACAGAAAAAAATCAAAAGAAAACCTGGTTGCTGTTTCTAGTGGTGTTTCAGAAGCCAGCTGGTGGCGCTTCTTCCCCGGACTGGATTTTCCTAACTTCCGCTCCCCGTATGTTAACTTTGGATGAGACATTTAAGAGAGGTTCTGGCTAGTCGGTAAATATCCCCTGTCGCTGTTCCGAAGCGTGAATCCCTGCGCTCGCCCAATTTGACTCCTAAAATTCGCCGAGGGGATGAAATATTAATAACATTTGCTTTTCACATGGCAGGACCCTAGCACCTATATTTTCTGAGATCTGCTTCCCTCTGTGCTTTCCTCTCGCACGGCTGAAAATAAAGAATGAGGAAGTGCTGGCGCCCGAAAGAGAATTGTTTTCTGTGCAGACCTCAACACAACAGAATGGCAATAAACTGTGATCTTTAGAAGAAGGTATTAAAAAAAATGACAAGAACTTTCAGATTAATTCTTCAAACCCTGAACACGAAGACAGAACAGACACATATGTGCAAGAGGACAGAGGACGCAACACCTTTGATATCAGAGTGCTCCTTCAGCTTCTGTGGTTTGCTTACTAAGCGTTCGCTAGCGGCTCATACATAGATCTAAAAATTGAGACCACCGTTATAGAGTAGGGTGTGGTATATGTAAGAAAAAAGAATGTATCTCGGGTACCACAGCAGTGCAATGGTTAACATCGTTGCCTTGCAGGGGCTGGAACCCTGGGTTCAATTTTCAGACGCGGGGTGCTATCTGTGTGGAGGTTGTGTGGGTTTCTTCTGGGTGCTCTGGCACACCCTAACAATCCAAAGACATACATGTAGGTTAATTGGTTTGTGTGAAAATTAACTCTGGTGTGTGCTTTTGTCGAAGTGTGTCCTGCGGTGGAATATGGATAGAGTAAGATATTTTTATTTTGAAAATCACATAGAGAGTAATTATCTTGCTCCTTTTCCTAAGCACCCGAGGAAGCCGAGGAATGTGCTCAATTGGTCCCATTTAACCAGTAAAGAGTTTAGTTAGGCTGTTCTGAGGTGAATTAGAATAACAATCTGTAGACAGATTCCCTTCAGGACCAGGATGGCCAAACCCTGATTTGGAGGCAGTGATTAAACCAGAGAACCCAACATAACAAAAATCTTTTATCTGTGAGCCCACGGAACACCCTTTAGAGTCCTTGATGACTCCATTAAGCAAATCAAATACCATCACCTGGAACGGCCATACACCCACCCAAAGTGCACTAGAAACCGTCATAAAAACATTAACGATAGGAAGGAGAAAATGTTCAAATCACTCGAATACAAATTTCAACTGAAAAAAAAAAACATTTAAGTACAGTAGGTCCTGCAAAAATACTCTGGGAAGAAAGTTTTGTCCTGTTTTGGTTCAAATAGTTCAAATTAACGTAGTCTTGAGTACACAGATCTTCCCCAACAAAACAAACGCAAATACAATATGTCGTCCTGTATTGATTAATTTAATCCCAAATACAGTATATCTTTTAAAACGAAACAGAGTTGCTGCAGAGTTACCAATTGAATCGCAAAACCTTGCCAACACAACAGTGACACCTAGTGTTGCCATCGCTAAACCCGTCTGCTGTTTATGTCCAGATACAGTGTACAACTTCTTTCACCCGTGGGGAGGAGCGGGGTCAGATTTTAGCAACGACATGTCTTGTATGGCGTTCCAATCTTTAAAACGGGTATCACAGGGTGGGTCCTAACTCCAGAGGGAATACACTCCTCAGCCTATACCAGGCTCCTGTTCCTCGACAGCCGGGTCTCGGATGCCGTCCTGGGCGTGGAGCAGTAGACCAACTCTTTGTCCTCGTACAGATATTTGAGGGCTTTGTGTGCTTGGAGAAGGCTTGGACCGTGAAACCTGTGGTATTTTGTGAGAGGTGCTGCGGTGGGTATGGGGCCGTATTCCCGAAGCGAGGAGTTGTGGTTGTGTCCGTATTCCCGGCGTTAAAACGAGCCTGTTCAAGATGGGCGTCGGGCTCTAACCAAGGTTGCGTCTTTTCTCCTCTCCTGCTCGCGATCTTCGTGGACAGGATATCAAAGATGAACGCGCAGCCGAGGTTTGGAGTGGATCCAGTTGTTATCTGTGGGTGATGGCGCCCTGATTATATCAGAAGGGATTATATCTCTCGGCTGGCCTGGAAATCCCCCAGGAGCAGTTTAAAACTGTTGCCTGTGGTGAAAGGAAAACGACCCCTAGGATTAAGCGGTTAGAAAATTATGGTGTTGATGTCTCTTATGTCTCAGTTAATTACATTACATTTAATGAATAATATGATTCAGGCAGCCTATCCACTGGAAAATATCAAGCATATAACTGTATTTCTGATTCCAGTCTTGATTTAGAGGATCAATTCCTACTCTTGTTGGCCTTGGCAGACTCCCTACTTTCCACCGCAGATACACATACTGTACTCCCAAATTCAGAGTACGCTAAGGACTGGGCTGAGCACAATAGCTTCATTTTGACTGCTGGGATTTGTCACTGGTACTAGATAAAGAGTGAGAAGTGCTTCATAAGATTCCTTTGTGTATTTATATTAAAGCTTTATCCAAGAGAAAAGGTCATTTTTGTACGACAGCGATCTCCCATTGCTAATGTAACCTATTTTGTTACACGGCAGGACAATTATTTTATATTTGTTGGTGAATTTAAGGAAATGAAAACATCGAAAAAAGTGGTCGTTTTTATGCATAATAATTCGTTTTAAACTTCGCACGATCGAGCCCTCGAATCAGTGTAAACTACAATCCCCTTGAGCAAAAGCAGCCGGTTACGTCACAACATGCGACGCAGGAAGCTGCTCGTGGAGAAGGTAGAATTTGGTTTCGAGTGTTTATGTCCTGAAGACGGGTTTAAATATGATTTTAAAGCCTTTACGAAGGTACAGATTTTTTTTCAAGGAAACACGGAATGGTCAAGGAAATTGAATAAACCTTTTTAGAGTGCAACGGGTATACTGAAGCGGAATCATTAATTCTAGACCAAATGCCAGGAATACTGCCAGCAGAAAACAGCTTGTTATATCGACGGAGAATTTGGGCGTAAGTTTACACTGCTTTGTAAGATGCATATAATTCCACAACGGTGAATTACAGTGATTATTCAAACATTAATTTTAAAGCTGTTTTTAAACGACCCTTCGGTTAAAAAAAAGTCTGTTTCTATAAGATATTCAGCTTAGTTCATGGTACGGAGATCGGGCGACGCTATATCCGTCCAATTCGGCAGGCGTCTCGCAGAGATCTGAATCCGATATTAACGGATCCTGAAAACCAAGAGATCATGGACGTCAGCATCTCCGTTTCGTTCCTAAAATACGAGCTCGCCTCCACCATAGAGCAGGTGGTGAAGGGTGCGGTGGAGACGGTGCTGCAGGAGACGGCCAGGGTCATCGGTAGCAAGTTCACGGACGTGCAAGCCGCCGCCGCGGAAAAGGAGAAAGAGAACGAGAACCTGAAGCTGAGGCTGGAGATCTCCGAGAACGAGCTGAAGGCGGTTCGCTACTACATGAACGCGGCGGAGATGAACATCAAGCAGTGTCTCCTGAACGCCAGCTCCAACGAGAAGCGCCTGCAGAGGCTGTCCTCCTCCGAGCCGCCGGAGGGCGAGGGCGAGCTCGAGCACGGCCAGCTCCTGCTCTTCAAACCCCGGACCCCTCAGGCCTCGCGCGCCCACCCCACGCAGACGACCAGCCCCTGCGTGGCTCTCTGCCTTCCCGCCGTGCACAGGGACTGGGCTCACGACCTAAACCCCACGGCGGCCAGCGCACACGAAGACGGGGCGGCGGAGCAGGGTTTCGAAGACGACCAAGTTGTGTTCCGAGTTCCTGAAAAATCCGGGACTCCCCCATTAAGCACGGCGGAGGGTGACGCGAAAGAAGCCGGTAAGTCCACTTGGTGTTGGCGTGGTCACGTCATTTCTTACTTATGTACACCCCCAAAAAAGGCTCCACAGCCCAAACTTTGAGTTTATTTTCAGCATGGAATAAATCTTTACTTGTTCATTTCTTTTTTACTTTTGGCAATTTCGACCAGGACAAGGGTAGTAATAATAAACTTTATTTTATATAGCGCCTTTTAAAGGTGGCTTCTCAAAGGGCTTTACAGAATGGCAACAATATATAAAACCAGTGCACAAGATAAAACACAATTAAAATACACAGAGGAGACCGTGGATGGTGGTACTAAGTATAGTAGGAGCAGAGGGGTAAAGAATGGAACCAGTTAAGTAAAGGCTATAGAAGAAGGTTTTGAGTCTGGACTTGGAGGAGTTTAGAGAAGGTGACTCTCTGATATCCTTGTGGAGAGAGTTCCAGAGCTTGGGAGCATCACAGGAGAAGGCCCTGTCACCCATACACTGTAGACAGGCTTGGGGGACAGTTAGGAGACCAGAACTAGAAGAGAGAAGGCTGTGAGGTGGGGACCCCAGCTTTGCCCATCTATTTCAGTGTTAATGGGTGCACATCCTTTGGCAAGAGCCTAGTCCCTCCATTTTCCAATAGCTATATCCTATTCAGGGTTGCTTGGGAGCCAGGGTTTATCCCAGCATGCAACAGGCACAAGGCAGGATACACCCTGGACAGGACAGCAGTCTATCACAGGGCACACACAGACACTCACACCAGAGTCGGTTTTCCCAGAAATCAGTTAATCTACCAGCTCGTATTTGCACTGTGGAAGGAAACCAGAGCACCCAGAGGTACACAAGCATGGGGAAAACATACAAACTCCACAGAGATACCCCAGGCCCGGAATTGAACCCAGGGCCCCAGCACAGCAATGCCAACCACTGCGCCACTGTGTTGCCCACTTGAACAATTGGCCTTCTTAAAGTTCCTCCTTAATTCAATTTGAGCAACACTTTCTCACTCTCTGTGCAGCTGTGCAGCAGGGCTGCACAGAGCAGGATGGCTGCTGACTTACCAGTGGGGAATGAATGTAATATGTAAAACCGTGTATGCAAAGCACACCGAGATGGAAAAATTAGATTCAAATGCAAACTATAATTAAATTCCTAGGCCTGTTCACAATGTAACTCCCTCTCAGTGCACAGCTCTGTACATTCCACTTTACTGTCTGGTTTAGAGGTCTCACATAAAGGCTTCAGGGTTAAAGTAACAAAAAAAGAATTCAGCTTTGAAGAGCTGAAGCCACTCGTGGGCAACATCTCAAGAGACTTAGGGTTTCTTTAGAGATGAGAGTTTTTAAGGAAGGACCTTTGGAGAAATAGTTGATCATGTGAGGTCTTCAGTTTACTAAAATGTATAAACTGTGTTTGTTGTTTTGGGTCTGTGTTAGAATTTGTATGTTCGACTCAATAAAAAGCACAAACGGGTATGAATGCATCTGGAAAACTATAATCATAAACTGTATATAAAAAGCGGTTTGCTATGAGGCAGGAGAGTAGGCTGTAGGAGGAAACCACACAAACGCATGCAGAACATACAAACTCCATGCAGATAGCACCAAAGGAACTGGACCCAGGGCCTCAGCACTGTGAGACAGAAATGCTAACTACTGTGCCACTGTCCCGCTCAGTATTAATACATCTAATTCTTAAATATCTGCACATCTTGGAATGAAAATGTCTGCATGTTACACTGTTATTTTGTGGAAAAACATGCTGTATTTTAGATCCGACTTGCAGATGTCACAGGACTTTCGGTGCCAATCGGGAATGAAACTTAGCCAGATTGTCTCCTGTCTCTTTCCCCTTAAGAGACCGACCCCTTGGAGAAATCGGATTATTCAGGTAGGCCGAAACTCGGCTGGGAGGCGGAGCCCTGCAGGGATGAGGTGGAATTCACTCTGCCTGCTGGCAACGTCAGTGAGCTGGGCCACATCCAGGTCATCGAGGACAACCAGCTGGATACGATCCGGGTGAAGAACGAGGACTCGGAGCTGGAGCCCACGCCAGTCCCGCACGCCGCCCTCAACCCTGGGGAAACGGCCTCTTCCGGGTCTTTTCCCTACACCGAGGACACGGGCTTCACCAGCGTGCAGGGGGAACCCGAGGATGCGGGCAAGGTGCACTGCTGCGCCGTGTGCGGGCGGGGCTTCCGGCGCATCTACAGCCTGAAGACGCACACGCGGATCCACACGGGCGAGAAGCCGTACCCCTGCGGCGACTGCGGCAAGACCTTCCGCCACTTCGACAGCCTGAAGAAGCACCAGCGCATCCACACAGGGGAGCGGCCCTACCGCTGCCCGCAGTGCGGGAACTGCTTCCGCGAGCTGGGCCACCTCAAGAAGCACCAGCTCATCCACACCGGGGAGAAGCCCTACCACTGCCCGCAGTGCGGGAAGAGCTTCAAGGAGGCCGGGGCGCTGAGGACACACCTGCGCATCCACACTGGCGAGCGGCCCTACGGCTGCTCTGTGTGCGGCAAGCGCTTCCGCTACTCCAATAGTCTCAAGGCCCACCAGCAGTTACACCTGGAGGAGTATCTATAGACCATGAGGGGGGAGATGAAGGTGTGTCTGTTTCCCAGGGCCCACCAGCAGCTGCACCTGGGGGAGTATCTGTAGACCTGGAGTGGGGAGATGAGGGTGTGTCTGTTTCTCACTCACCAGCAGCTGCACCTGGGGAAGGAGATGAGGGTGTGTCTGTTTCCCAGGGCCCACCAGCAGCTGCACCTGGAGGAGTATCTGTAGAGTATCTCCTCCTTGAGGGAGGAGATGAGGGTGTGTCTGTTTCTCACTCACCAGCAGCTGCACCTAGAGGAGTACAGGGTGTCCAGATTTAACGACCTCAATGGGGACCATAAAACAGGGTTGTTAAGTGAATCAACGTTGTGTGGGGAATTAAGTGGAATGGCCCTGTATCTATAGGCCATGATGGGGGTGAAGATGGACAGGGGGTGTTTCTGTTTCTGTTTCTTAAGGACTGCATCCCAGCAGGATATATGTGAGAGTTGTAAGTAAGCATTGGCACGTGGATCTTGAATTATTTATTGCACTAATGGTCTTAAACTGCCTAGATGTAAAACGAGTTTCAAAGTAGATGGCGTGTCATTTTCATTGATGTAATATGAAATCCTGTATGCAGCGGACTCGTTTGAGGATACAGGGAATTCATGGCTTGAGGTAGGTACAAGATCCTCACAACCTCCCTGTCTCAGGACCTGGGTAAATTTAAGCAAATCTTCGAATTTATTTCAATGAGGTATGTAAGTGCACAGAAGAAAAACCGGACAGTGCTTCAGTAGCCTTAAAAGTCTTTATTTGCCCTCCAGATGCTTGGACCTTTTGAACTGATTAATCGCAGATTGAATTGTGCTCATTTCTGCTTTTGTAGAATGATGAAATAAATGCAGAAA